TACGAAACTTGCATCCTTCAGAGGTGAAAGAGTGGCACCCCATCCTCGTCCCCCGCCCCAGCAGCCGTCTCCGCCCGTGCCAGCGGCAGGGCTGCAGGCTCCCCGGGCTCCCCTCCGTCCCACGCTGCACGGCCGGTTGCAGACACTGCTGCTTCCCCACCGAGCACCTCAACACCCAGGCCGGCGTGAGTCTCTTCTTCCCATGTCAAATCTCTACCCGGTGAAAGGCACGGCTCTGCGGTGTTGGCTGGCTGAGTCGTGACCACAGCACACAGCTGTGCAGCCCACGCCCTACCCCAGGGCAGGGCGTTTGCATCAGCCCAGAGCGCCCCCTCCTAGACCTGCTGGCACCCGGCCCACACCTCCGGTCCTGGCTCTCAGGGCCTTCTGCCCTTTCTCGTCGGCCCCTGGCAGCCCCACCTCTGGGCCTTTGCACACGCAGTCCCTTCCGTATTGAATGCCTTTCTCCATGCACCACTGGTCAAGATGCCTGCTGTTTCAGAAAGCTTCCCCTTCCCCCAACCACCCGGTTGTCCCTGGAGCCCATATTCCATGTGTCACTTTTTAAAAAGATTTATTTATGTATTTGAAAGTCAGAGTTACAGAGATCTTCCATCTGCTGGTTCACTCCCTCAGGTGGCCACAATGACTGGGCCAAAGCCAGGAGCCAGGAGCTTCTTCTGTGTCTCCCATGTGGGTGCAGGGGCCCAAGCACTTGGACCATCTTCTGCTGCTTTCCCAGGCTGTCAGCAGGGAACTGGACCAGAAGTGGAGCAGCCGGGACTTGAACAGGGGTCTGTATGGGATGCCGGCGTTGCAGGCAGTGCTTTACCCACTTTGCCACAATGCCAGGGCCCAAGTGTCACTTCTTCAGGAAAACCAGGTACAGATGCCAGTGGAGTGAAAGACTGAGTGAGTGAATTAGTGAGTGAGCCTCAGTCTCCACTGGACCAGGAGCTGTCCGAAGCCTCCCCGCCTCTCCTTCCCCCAGGCGCTGTCCAGGTCCTGCCTCCACGCTCCATCAACGCCACCACCCTGCCCATCGCCAAGTCCACCTGGGAACAAATGTGTCACCCCAAATTGCCCTGGGGGGTGCTTCCTCCCTGTGGGCTCTCAGACAGTTGCCCTGTGCCGAGCCTGGCCGACATCACCACCAGCCTCCCCTGCGCCCCTGGGCCCGACGCGTTAGGGAAGCAGTTGAGAGCATGGGCTCCGGAGCTGGCGCCTGGGTCTGAATTCTGCAGCCTGTTCTTGCTGCTTCCTTGGTTGTGAGATGGTGATCTGAACCCCCGGGCCACAAAGCTCCGCGAGCAGCGCCGGGCACGCAGTAGGGCTCCTGACACGCAGTAGGTGTTTAATTCAAGGCAGACAAGCGGGCAGGCAGCCGCGTCTGCTGCTTCACTCCCCAGCTACCAGCAAAGGCCAGGGCTGGGCCTAAGACAAGAGTCAGGAGCTCCAGCCAGCTCTCGCACGTGCGTGGCAGGAACCCACTTCCTTGAGCCACCGCGGCTGCCTCCAAGGGGCTGTGCTCACGGGAAGCAGGAGTAGGAGCCGGAGCCAGGCACTGTGCCTCTTAACTGCTGGGCCACACGCCCGCCCCAGTGGTGACTTTTCTATCTCCATTGTCCTGGTCCCCGCTGGCTGCACGTGACAGCTGGTCTGGAAGGCCACAAGGGGAGGAGGGAGTAGCCTGGCCCCAGACGTGGGCTGCCCATCACCTCCTGTGGGGGCTGGGGCCCTGTGTTCCCACACTCGTCTTGCCCTTCATGCCTGGACAATCCCTGCTCCTCCCAGCCTCGGCCTGGCTGCCTGGAAAGCGGGCATGGTTGCCCCTTCCCCTTCAGGGTTTCCAGGGTTACTCCAGGAAAATCTGGAATGTTCCTGGAGCCCCTCTCGGCAGCCTCCCTCTGAGCCCTCGGTGACAACAGCTGCTGCGCGCGCCGACTCGTCTGCAACCCTCACCTCTGCACGTCCTTAGCCCTCACCTCTGCATGCCCTCAGCCCTCAACTCTGCACGTCCTCAGTTCTCACCTCTGCACCATGGGAGATGCACCACGACCCCCATGGGGCTGGCGCTGTTTGCTCGCTGGCTCCCGGGTCTCCCCACTTTAACATCTCTGGGGGAAGGGGTGGGTGTTGCAATGCCGTGGGCTAAGCTGCCACTTGGGACACCTGCATCCCTTATTGCAGTGCCTGTGTGCAAGTCCTGGCTCTGCTTCTGATCCAACTTCCTGCTAGTGTCCCTGAGAGGCAGCAGAAGACGGCCCGAGGGCCTGTTACATGGGAGACTCAGAGAGTCCCAGGCGCCTGGCTTCAGCCTGGCCCAGCCCCAGCTGTGGTGGGCATTTGGAAAGTGAACCAACAGATGGACGATCTCTCTGTATGTGTCTCTCCCTGTTTGTCACTCTGCCTTTCGAATAGCAAAAACACCAGCTTTGCGAGGGGAGAAGTTTGGCTCAGTGGTCAAGGCTCTGCTTGGGGCAGCCGCATCCCATCTCCACGTGCCTGGCTTCAAGTCCCAGCTCTGCTCTGAGCCAGCTTCCTGCTCACACACACCTGGGAGTCAGTGGGTGATGGTCAAGTACACGAGTCCCAGCCACCCCATGGGAGACCTGGATGGAGTGCTGGGCTCCTGTGCCCAGCCTGGC